ACAGGGAACAAAATCGACATTGTGCTGTGTTCCTTATATGCGAAGGACCATAACCTCATAGCTTTCCAGTTTTAGAGGCCATCTAACTAAACTCTCTCATTTTGCATAAGGGGAAACTGAGGCACAGTGATATGCCCAAAGGCACAGAGGGGGTAAGGGGCAGAAGCAGACTTCTAACCCAAAATCTCTGGTTCTAAATGGAGCACTTTATCCATTGTGCCATGCAGGTTCTATACAGTGCTGGATGAACCTCATTGTCAGAAGAACTGCAAACTATTCATACCAAAAGACTCATGACAGCATTTTTTTTTTTGTAGTAGCCAAGAATTGGAAACAGAGTAAGTACCCATTGACTGGGGAATTGTGGTACATGAATGTAATAGACGAACACTGCTCAAGAAATGACAATATGAAGAATTCAGAGAAGTGTGGGAAGACTTATATAAACTGATGCAGAACCAGAAAAATAACGTACCACGCGATAGGACCACGGCAATGTAAATGGACAGAGCAAGAAGACGCATCACCAAACCCATCCTGGAAGAGTCGAGAAACTTTACGTCTCTCTCTTCTTTGTAGAAGTGGGAGACTATGGGTAGAGAATACTGCATATGTCGTCAGACATGTTTGCTTTGGTTTGGCTGCAATGCTTTTCCCCTTCTTTCTTTTTTAATTTTTGTTACAAGGGATAGTTTGTTGGGTAGGGGAGGAGGAAGCGATAAATAAGTGTGATGAAGCAACAACAGGTATTAAAAATATAATATAAAATCTTTAAACTCCTGGTCTTTGCTGTTTCTTGACCTGGCCGACGAAGAGTGAGTGTAACACTCCTTGAGTCTCATTCTTGGCTGACCTCTGGTGTGGGTGCAAGCATCCGCCTCCTCAGGGGCCTCCATCACTTGACTGGCCCACTGTTGAAGTGAATTCGCCACTGGACAACTGGTCAACTGGTCTTACGTATAGCCCTACAAAGGTGGCTAGGTTTTTGACAAGCTATTTGCTGAAAGCTGTCATCTGCCTTTCATCCAATGGCCAAAAGTCCTGTGATACTTTCAAACTGATCATAGGCTTATCCACACATAGGATCATAGGGATGAGCAAACAGGAAAATTCCTTAGTTCCTCATTTATCCTGTTGTTTGACTGATTAATTGTGCGTAGGGGACAGAACTCCACTCTTATACATAGAAGACAGAGTCACCTGTCATATAGTGGAGGGGTCTGAGGAGAGGGGCAGCTGGTGTTCCAAGATCTCTATGGTGACGCAGTGGACAGAGAGCTGAACCTGAAGTCAGGAAAGCCTGAGTTCAAATCTAGGCTCAGACGCTTGCTAGCTATGGGATTCTGGGCAAGCCACTTAACCTTGTTTGCTTTTGCTTCCTTAACTGTAAAAGGGAGATCACAATAGCATCTACCTGGTAGGGTTGTTGTGAGAATCAGAGGAGATATCTGTAAAGCACTTAGCACAGTCCCTGGCACATAGTAGGTGCTATATAAATGTTTATTCCCTTCCCCCACCTCCCAGGGTTGTTGTGAGGATAAAATGAGGTGATATTGGCAAAGTGCATTGAAAATCTTACAGAAAAAAAATGGGGATAACAATAGCTTCCCTGTGAGGACAGAATTGACAGCACTTTACAAACCACAAAACACCACATACACGCCAGCTGTTATTATTTTTGTTGTGATTATTGTTGTTATTATTATTGTCTGAGCTTTATCTGTTCAGAGAATGAGATGGGTTGGGTATCAATTTCAAAACAACAGCAGTCCATGGATGGTGGAGCAAGTCAAGCAAACCCCCAGACTAATGAGCAGGGATCAGGACCACTGATAGTGTTCCTTTTTCTCAAAATGCCTCAGACCTACTGGCATTTTCTCAGCAGTGGCCCCATCTTTATCCTGTCCTGCTAGCGTTTCTGTGAAAGATTTCCTTTCCCCTTTACTGCCCAAGCTCTGTGTACTGAAGTCAAGAGAATGTTAGTTTCTCTGAGTCAGTCAACAAACACTCATGAAATACCTACTAAATGCCCAAGTTTCTCCCTGTTCCAATCTCTGCCCCTTCCTGCAGAGTTCTTCCCTTTCCAGAGACCCAGAGTCCAGCTGTGTCCAGCCCGAGCTTTCTTCTTTTCTCTGGGTCAAGCATTGCATATCTGGTTGCCTTTCCTACACACGCCCACAGAATCCCAAGATGGCAGACCCCAAAGGCCCCAAATGGCTTCAAGAAAAACCCTCTCAGAATAACATACACATTCAACTGGGTATGGAAATTTGTCTTACCCTATAAGAAAATAGGGGGAGAAGGGGACAAGAGAGCAGGGGGATGATAGAGAGGAGGGCAGATTGGAAAAGGGTGTAATCAGAAGTAAATACTTCTGAGGAGGAATAGGGTCAAAAGAAAGAATAGAATAAATGGGAGGGCAGAATAGGATTAAGGAAAATAGAGTTAGTTTTTCACAACATGTCTACTATGGAAGTGTTTTGCATAACTGCACATGTACAACCTATATTGAGTTGCTTGCCTTTTCAATGAGGGTGGGTGGAGAGGGAGAAAGAGAAAATTTGAAACCTAAAGTTTTAAAAACATATGTCCAAAAAAAAAGTTTTCACATGCTATCGGGAAATAAGAAATACCGGAAATGGGGTACAGAAGTCTATCCTGCCCTACAGGAAAATAGAAGGGGAAGGGGATAAGAGAAGGGGGGAGAGAAAGAAAAGAGGACAGACTAGGGGAAGGGATATTCAGAATGCATGCCATCTTGGGGTGGGGGGAGGGTGAGACGGGGTGAAAATTTGGAACTCAAAAACTTGTGGAAGTGAATGTGGAAAACTACAAATAAATAAATTTATATCAAGAAAAACCCTCTGAGCTTCTCTATATCTCCCATCCATGGGAGAACCTGCCAGTGAAAATGCCCTTAGAATGGCCTTGCTGCCCTTGTAAGGGACCAAACATTGAGGTAAAGAGAAGGAAAACTACAGCCCTTCCTTCAATACTTCTATGGGAACATGTAAATTGTGTGACTTTGGATGTGTTTTTCTTTTGATCAGATGGAGATCATACTACCCACACCATCCTCTAGATCTCCCAGGAAGTTGGGAGAATACAGAAGAATAAGACCTGTGAAAAAAGTGCTTCGAGATCCTCTGTGAATACTGCTTCCTTCCCACAACGTATCCCCGGTGCTCTCGATTTGCAATTCAGTCAAAATGGCTTCTTTTGTTCTTCACACATGGGACACCATCTTCCATCTCAATGCCTTGGCATTAGCCAGCCTCCCTACCTGTCTCATAGAATTCCTTTCATCCTTCAAGATACACCTTCTACGTGAAACCTTTCCTCATCCCCCAACTAGAACCTTACCCCCCATTACATCTATCTACTTTGTACTTATTCTCTGTAAAGTTGTTCTGTTCACATGCACTCACGTACCTGCATCTATGTGTGTATATGTGTATACACAAATACGTGTTATATGCATATATACACACATAGATGCATGTTATGTGTGTGTAGGTCTATCTATCTATATCTACCTGTCTAAGTGGTGCTCCCACTGATAGATGTAAGCCCCCTCAGAGTTGGGCTTGCTCATTCTCACTGGAATCACCTGTGTGTCTAATCCACCACCTCACACGAAGAAGGCTGCTGGGCTTAAGAAATATTTATAGATCACTATGTATTTTGAATCCTTTCCTATGTTCTCCTGTGCACATGACATTTTTTGTTTTTTCTTATTTTATATTTGTTTATGTTTCTTTTTCTTTTCTTATTATGTATTTAAGTTTTAGCACTTGTCTAAAATAAAAAAAAATTAAGAGAAAAAAAGAAAAAAGAAAAAAAAAGAAATGTTTACACATTGACTAAATGATTGACTACTGAATGCTTGACTGGCGGCCCATTCTCCCTGTCCATGGCTGACTGCCTAATCCCACTGGGTATGGCTAGAATCCAGAGTCTTCCCCAGACTTGGCTGGGCACCTCCCAAGGGACTGATCCCTTCTTCCTTCCTTCTTCTTTATATTCAACTACCAACCAGCCCCATTTTGGAAGTGGAAAGGACCAGCTCCTAATTAGCTGGGAAAGCCTAGCTAATTAACAAATGGCATTTGCCTTCAAACCACAGGACAGTGGTCTTACAAATGCCTCTTTGAGCTACCCCTAAATCCTCCAAAACAATATTTCTCAATTGAATCCATTATTAGAGGCACTTGCCTGAGTCTTCATCTAACCCTGACATCTGGAACAACCAGAGGTGATGTCTCAAAAAGCTCACTAAAAGAAGTTTTTATACTCATTGGTGGTTGTCTGTGATGATAACAGAACATCTCTTTCCTCTTGTTCCCCAGGTCAGTATTACTGTTGTTCATTCATTGACCTACTCATTCATTCCTCTGACAGAGGCAGTGCAAAGTGTTGAACTTGAAGTCAATAGAGACCTGGTTTGGAATCTTCACTTCCAAACTTATTAGCTTTGTGACTCTGGAAAAGTCACTTAACTGCTGTCTGCCTCAGTGTCCTTCCATGTAAATGGTGATAATAATAATAGCTACTTCTAGGGTTTGTTGTGAGGAACAAATGAGATGTTATTTTATATAACAGCACAGATGATGGCACATAGTAGGTACTTGATAAATGCTTCCTTCCCTCCCTCCCTCCCTCCCCTTCTTTCCTTCCTTCCCCTTTTCTTTCCTTCCTTCCCCTTTCCTTTCCTTTCCTTTCCTTTCCTTTTCCTTTCCTTTCCTTTCCTTTCCTTTCCTTTCCTTTCCTTTCCTTTCCTTTCCTTTCCTTTCCTTTCCTTTCCTTTCCTTTCCTTTCCTTCTTTTCTTCCTTCCTTCCCTCCCTCCCTGTGGCAGAAAGCAGGGCCCTCCCACCTCTAGTATGTTCTAGCCCTGGCTATAACTTTGGCCCAGACCCACTGGGAAGCTTCTCTTCATCTTCAATAACTGCTTCTTCCCCTTCCCCAGCCACATCTTGCCCCCATCGTCCAAGCTGCTTACCTTTTCGAAATCCACCGATTTGCACCTTGGATCCATGTTAGGATTGGTGCCCTGGGCATTGGCCGAGGTCACAGTTCCATTCTCCTGAGGATCCTGGTAAAGGACAAAGAGAGAAGAATTAATACTGGGGAAGGGAGACATACAAGGATAGAATCTACCCACCGATCTATCCCCATTCATTGCGGTGGAAATGCCAACGAACTGGGAGGCAGAGGCCCTGAGTTCAAACCTGGGGCTCTTGTTATTTACTCCAGGTGAGACAGGAGGCAAATTTCTGGGTCAGTTTCCTTGTCTGTAAAATAAAGGTGTTGGACTACATTATTTCTACGGTCCCCTTCCAATCCTAAATCTTATGGGATAAGAATGAGTTTGTTGAAGAAGGTGGCTTGGTTCAGTGAAAGGAACACTGGTCTCAGAGTCAGGAGAGACTTCAGTTTGCTCCGACCAGGTGTGATCTTGAGCAAGTCATCACACGTCTCTCAGTTTTCTCATCTGTGAAATGGGGATAATACCACTTGCCATATCTACCTTGTAGGGTTGTTGTAAGATAAATGCTCTATAAACCTTAAAATGCTATGTGAACTCTCAGAACTAGGGTAGCTGGGAGCTGATGGGGTGAGCCTGAAAATGAGGACTTTTAGAAAACAGGCGGGGCAGTGGGAGATAGACAAGTTAATAGACAGAGGGGGGACAGAGTTGGAAATAGGAATCATTCACAAGGAACAGGGAGCTCTAGAGGACGTCCCCAAGGTTGGTGCTCCTGAGCACAGAGCTTCTCTGGCCAGGAGGAGGCCAGGCTCAGGCAGAGGCAGGCACTGTCAGGGCCCTGGGCACCGTGTAGCACTGACCATTATCACACCTACCACCGGTGCCAGCAGCTCCCGGGTAGGAGTTCCTTTCTCTCCTCTTCCCATCCCTGGCTGATTAAACAGGCCCACGGCTTTATGAGGGCTGGGCCATTTGGAATTCTGGAGAGAGTCAGAGAAATGACCTCCTCACCTCCCCAGCTCCCTCTGCCCCCAGCTCCAACTTGAGGGAAGGAGCTAAGAGAGGAAGTATGTCTCAGTAGACTCAGGGTTATATTGAATTAGCAAACTAGGTAAAGTCAAAGGGGAAATGGAATGTGCCGGTGAAATCACAAAAGTGGAAAAACCCAAGGTCCAGGGTGCAGAGCCGAGGTCAGGAAATTCCCTCACTCCCTCACTTCTTCCTCCAGCTCAGCCCAAGCCTCTGCCAAAGGGATTCTGATCAATCAGCTGTAATAAGGGCTATCTGCTCACTGACTCAGCAAGTATTCCTGGGGCCAGGCTCTGTGCTAAGTGATGGGGATGCAGCCAGTAGAACAGATGAAACAACCCCTCCTTGCAAGGAGCCTACACTCTCAGATAAATAGAAGTATATACGTCATTTCTGATAGAACAACAGTATTCCAAAACACACAAACACACATACACACCCAATAGAAGTATATATGGAAGATATGGATTAGAGCAAACACAGAGTTGGAAGAGAGGCTTTTTCTTTTTCACTTTCACTCTGACCCAATTTCAACTAGGAGTAGGAGTCAGAGTTCACCAAGGGCGAGGGGAAAAGGGAGTTTGTTTCATGGGGCAGCCACGTGTGGTCTATCCCCGCCCATCCCTCCACTCTGTCCCACAACTGGTGGCAGTAGCTTCTTAACAGGTCTGCCTTCTCCAGTCCATTCTACACAGGCTGCCAGGGTGGTAATGATCATCACCGTCAAGCACTAGCAATTAGTGAACAAGCATTTATTGAACACCTAGTATGTGCTAGAGAATCACTGTCTTCATGGCATTCTATTGGAAAAAACAAAACCTACACATTACAACACAGGCAAAAGAAAGACAAATTAATCTCTGGGGGAAAAGGTGAAGCAGGTGGAGATCAGGGGTTTGAGTTGGCTGGCTTTGAAGCACACCAGCCATTCATTCTAAGGGTCAGAGACAAGGAGGGAGGGCATTCTGATCATAGGGCACAACTTTTGCAAAGGCACAGAGATGAGAAAGCCATGTGTGAAGAACAGTGGGAAGGCCAGTATGACCCGACCAAAGACTGTGTGGAGGGCAGTGATGTGTAAACAGGCAGGAAAGCTGGAGCCAGGTTATGAAGGCACTGAACGTGTGGAGGAGACAACAGGCTGGAGCCAGATGATGAAGGGTGATGAATGACAGAGGAGTTTGTATTGGATGCCGGGATCCCTGAGATCCACTTGAGAGTGACACAGTCAGACCTCTGCTCTAGGATGATCCCTTTAGTAGCCGTGTGGAGGATGGACTGGAGAAAGGGGAAATGTGAGGGAAAAGAGTAGTGAAGCTGGAACTGATGAGGACCTGATCCAGGGGATGGCGGGTGTGTGGGCAGAGACAAGGGGGCAGACATCGTGGAGGCGGAATGGACACGTCTTGGCAACTGACTGGAAGTGGGAGGTGAGGGAGTCATCCAAGGATGACTCTGAGGTTACAAATCAGGGTGACTGAAGCCTAGTGGTACCCTGGACAGACATAGGGAAGTTCAGACGAGGGGATGGTTTGGGGGAAAGTTAGAGCTATGGAATTTGAGATGCCTGTGGGATATCCAGTTTGAAATGTCCACTAGGCGGTTGTTGATAAAGGACCCGAGTTCAAGAGAGAGATGATGCGTAGACTCATAGATCTTAGAGGCATCTGCATAAGGACTCCAATTGAACCCGGGGGAGAGAATGAGGTCACCAAGTAAGAAGGTGTAGACAGGGAAGAGAGTCTTGGAGTACACTCACAGAGGGAAGGATATGGATGATAATTCATCAAGGGAAACTGAGGAACGGTTACAAAAACCCAGAAAAGAAAAACATATCCAAGAGGAGAGAGCAGTCAACAGTACTAAATACTGCAAGAGGTCCAAAAGGCTAAGGATTGAGAAACGGCTGTTGGATAATGGTAATAACAACAATAATAAGAATAATCATCATAATAATGGACGTTAGTGCTTTAGGCTTTACAAAGCATTTTATCTCATTTCACTTGCACAGAAATCCTATAAAGAATACATACTGCTATACCTATTTTATAGATGAGGAAATTAAGGCTCAGATTGCTAAATGGCTTACCCATGGCCACCTAGTAAGACTCAAAGGCAGGATTCAAACCCAGCTCTCTTCTGCCTCCCAATTCAGGCTGTCCCACAAGCCTGGGACCATCTCCGTCCTCATCTTCCTCTGGTCGCCCTGATAGCTTTCAAGTATCAACTTCCTTCCAGAACCTACTCAAATCCCATCTTCTACAGAAAGCCTTTTCAACCCTTCTTACCTCTAGTGCCTTTCCTCTTTTGATAATTTCCTATTTATCCCAAGTAGAGCTAGTTTGTATGAATCTGTTTGCTTGTTATCGCCTCCATTAGATTACGGACTCCTGGAGGGCAGGGACTGTCTTTTGCCTCTTTTTTTTTTTTTGTATCCCCAGCACTTAGCACAGTGCCTTGAACACGCAGTAGGAACTTAATAAATGGTTATTGCTGGAGTAGTCAAATTGAACTACTTGCTTCCCTCTGAACTTTGTATTTTCCTCCCTCTATACCTTTGCTGATGACACTTTCTCCCCCTAGAATGCTCTTCTCTACCAGTTTCAATCTACACACCCTTCGAGGAAAACTCTCTGGAAGCTTTTATAGCCAGGAAAAGGGATCACAGGATTTCAGACTAGATTGAACCTTACACATTCTCTAGTTATACAATCATAGATGAGATGGAAGGGACCTAAAAGGTCATCTATACCAGCTCCTTCATTTTACAGCACCTTGATATTTCTCTATCACAGAGGAGCTGTAGGCACTTGAATATTTGGCAAAACGAATGAATTAACCATTTTTGGCTTCAATTAGGAGGTAGGGGGCTCTGTGGTTTAATTGCAATAATTGTGCTCAATGGAATAAATTTAACAGTATATAACATATAATCTAATTCTGTACATAACAATATTACATATGATATTATGATTATGTTACATTATAATATATAATAAATTAAATTCTATATCCCCAAGCAAAACTATAAATGGGTCATTCCTCTCCTCCCTCCCAACCACCTGAGAACCCACACAAATAACCCTGCCATTCACCCTAGGGTAAAAGGGATCTCCTCTTGGGATCTCCAAGCACCACAGCAGTATCTATGGAAGTGAGATCCACAAGGCAAATAAAAAAATCAAAGACTCTTAGAGTTGGGACCTTTGAGATCATTGAGTAGAAATCCCCTCCACAACATGACTGACAAGTGGCCACTGAGTCTCCATTTATTGAAGACCACCAGTGGCCAGAAACTCAAACAGTTCCAAGTTAAATGTATGACAAAGATACAAAGATTCTGCCTGCCAAGGGCTAGACCTGGTCCTTTAGGGAACACTGAATGACTGCAGCAAGGCCAGCATTTCTTTACCCCACAAGTGGCTGGATGTTTTGGTATAATTCCTCAAATAACACGGGTGTGTAGACCTGAGATTATCAGATTCCTTAGTCCTGATTGGGCACTAGAGCAAGAAAGAGGGAAAAGATTCTCTTGACTCAAAGGACAACTTGAGGCAGAGAGCATCTTCACTCCCTCACCCTAGCTTAAACAGGAGATGGGAAGGTCATTCTTCACCTATACTCTGTGAGGGTGGGGAAGTAAGGTAGTGAGTGCACCAAGGTGAGCCAGACAGGAAGAGTGATTTTTCAGATTACTGCCTCAGGCACCAGGCCGCTGTCATGGACCAACTTATAAATATCGTAAAATTTCATAGTTCTCCATTACTATATTTTTGAAGGACACGATAATGAGCATTGTGTTGGTGAATCCTTTTGATGGCAGGAATTAACATTCCTACCTAGACTGGAATGACTCAGTTCTTAATAGGCTCTCCAGTACTGGGATGTCTCAGGCTGCCTCTCCTTCAGTGATTGCCCCAGAGTTAAGGCGGGGCGATGAGGTTCCATGAAAACTCCATGGAACATGCTCAAGCAGCCATTCCTGAATCTAACTCTGAAATTCTGAAAGTTATAAAAATGGCCTTTATACATACCCAAGGCACAAGACAAATGACATACGAGTCATTTTTTTCCAC